GCAAAATACGACCGAAAAACTAATGAAACAAAAGAATTGTCAATCAAATGTTCTACAACGACATCTTGTTAGAAATGTTACAAGTAAAGAGGTGGTTGCTCTGTTGATTAAAATGCAAAATTGATGTTGATGGTATTGTTTTCATTTCGTTGTTTGATCACTTTTTTTCAACAAGTTTACATTAATAATGGATATTCAATATGTTTACACAAAGAAACGATCAGAATTTGGTCGTCAAGTAATTTTTTCAGATCGACCTGTCGAATTAATTGCTGATATTCCACCCAATCATGAACTAGCTCGTGAATATATTTCTCGTAATCCTGTTGAACTTGCTATACAAAACGTGCGAGAATTTTCTGAACATTGGGTATAAATTTCAAAATTGAATTTCGTTCATTCTATTTTTTTTTTTGTAAATAAATCTATTGATAACTACAGGTGAATACAGTTCGATTTGAAACAGAAAATCGAGGTATAAATCATGTTGAAGGTGGTTGGCCAAAAGATATAAATCCACTTGAACCTGATCAAACATCACGTTTTCGAAAGAAAACAGAGAAAGAAGATGGTTTCACTAGATCCTTGTTATCTCTTGGACAAGTAAATATTTACTTTTTTGTTCTTTTTTTAATTGATAATATATAAATATATTGATTTAGTTAGTTGAACATACAATCAAACAAAATAATGCTGTTGATATTTATGAAAATTATTTTCAAAATTTAGAACCTGATGTTGTTGAAGAAGCACCTTATGCTAAAACCGTTAATATCTATCGGTAAAAAGTACAGTTGAATGTGTTGTTGTATTGAAATTTCAAATCTTTAGTGATCCACATAATGCTCGTCGTACAGCAAATCATATTTCATGGTATGCTGATGGAGCACGAAAATTAGCTGTTTCATATTGTAATCTTGAATTTCAATCGGGTACAAATGATTCATTTATCGATTCATACATCTGGGATACTGGTTAGTAAAAATAAAGCATAAGTTGAAATTTATTTATTCATTTTCGAATGCGAAATAGAAAATCCAACAAAACCTGATCTTAGTTTAAAACCACTATCTCCACTTGTTTGTATTGAATTTAATCCAAAAGATACACATCAACTTGTTGGAGGTTGTTATAATGGTCAAGTTTGTAAGTGTTAAACTTCTATCAATTCAATTAAATATATATTATTGAATAGGTATATTTGATACACGAAAGGGTAGTACAGCTGTTGAACAATCACTTATTGAAAATAGCCATCGTGATCCAGCTTATAAAACAGTATGGTTACAATCAAAATCAGGCACAGAATTTTTTTCTGCTTCGACTGATGGCAAAGTAAAATAAGAGATTTTTTTTATAGAGCCTTCTTATATTGATAGTTTTTTATTTAGATTCTTTGGTGGGACACAAAAAAACTATCAGAACCGGTTGAAACATTAATATTAGATATTGAAAAAAAAGGTCGATTAGAAAATGCTCTTGGTGCTATGTCATTAGAATATGAATCAACAATTGTAAGTTGAAATTTTTGTTTTGAAAATTTCAATCGAATATTTTAATCATATAGCCAACGAAATTTATGGTCGGAACAGAACAAGGTCGAATTGTATCATGTAATCGAAAAGGAAAAAATGATGCTGAAAAGATCGGTAATGTTTTTCCAGGACATTGGGGTCCTGTTTATGCACTTCAGCGTCATCCAAATTTTTTAAAAAACTTTTTATCTGTTGGCGATTGGACTGTACGTATTTGGTCAGAAGAAATGCGAGACGATTGTATTATGTGGACAAAGTAATATCATCCTTTTCTTATTAAACTAGGTAAAAAAAAAAGCAGGACTTATTTTTTGATTCTTCTAGACCAAGTGTGCATGCTCTTACCGATGGTCAATGGTCACCGACACGATCTTCTATATTTTTTACAACTAAAATGGATGGTAAACAAAATGGCTTTCTCATAGAAAAAAAAATATTTATTTATTTTTTTTTATTTTGTAAAAATAGGTACATTGGATGTTTGGGATATATTATTTAAACAAAATGAACCAACTTTATCAATTCAAGTTGTTGATGAAGCACTTTATTGTTTACGTGTACAAGAGCCTCATGGTCGTCTTGTTGCTTGTGGTTCACAGAATGGTACAGTAACATTAGTTGAAGTATCGGATAATTTATGTATACAAGGAAAAAGTGAAAAGAGTTTAGTAAATGGAGTAAGTGTTTTAGAATACAGTAAATTCTTGTTTTATTGAATAAATTAGATGTTTGATCGTGAAACACGACGTGCAAAAATTCTTGAAGCTCGAGGTCGAGCAAGACGAGATGCTCGAGGAAAATCAGCACATGGCGAGGTAAAATTTTTTTAATTGTTTTATTTTTTGATTTATTATTTTGATATGTTCAAGAAAACTGAAAAAACAACGACTGATGGTGGAACTGGTGAATCGGAATTGAAAGAAGCTGATCCTATTGAAAAAGCTGAAAAAGACTTTTGGAAAATCGTTGAAGAAGAAAAAAGAAAACGAGATCGAAAAGCTGCTGCGGTTAGTTTTTCACGACAAGGAGTTTGCCTTTTTTTTTATTGTTAAAACTTCTAATTCTTTTTTAGACGGGAGAGAAGACAACAGCTGATACTGGAGAAACGGCCCAAGCTGAAGAGGCAGCAAATACAACAGCGCAAACGACCTCATAATATTTTGTTTTATTATTATTTTTTTTTTTTTTGTTTTGAACTATTGTACACGTTCTTGGTGTGTTTAGCACTTTATATCTGCGAATTACTCAATTAAGATAAAATCATCAAAAAATTGTTAAAAAAATTTTTGCTTGAAACTTCTTTTGTTGGTAATGAAGAGAACAAAAATATCAAAATACGTAGTCACGAATTTTAGTGAATGAATTTACGGTTAACATGAATAGTAGACCGAGATGTTCTCTCTTATGTAAACCACACATAAAAGCTAACTTGTAAGCGAAAACGTATTTGATGATTGGCATTACATTGAATATAAATTACTGATAAAGAAAAGAACATACCTCAGAATGTTTTTGATTCTTTACAATAAATAAAAAATTCGTTCCATATGTATGAAAAAAAAGTCGCAGAGTGAAGTATTTCTTGAAATACTTCTTACTGGAATACACAGGATAGTCCAAAAGTAAAGAAAAATAGACATTTTTGGATTTTTTCGTTGTCTATGGACAGGTAGGCCTCATATGTACATCACATAAATCTTACTGTTCGTCTGTGACTGTAAGAGAAATTCGATTTCCATAGTTGCGTCTGCTTATATCAGTTCGTGAAGTGAATACCATTTAATTGATTTTGAGCTCTTTTAGGCTAAATTGATGCAAAATATAACCAAATAAAATTTATTGCAACGATCAGAATAAACACACACAACTATGAGTATCGAATGGAAGTCGAAGAACATCGAATGTATTATGCAGATATAAATGAGTGGTAAGATCTATTCGTACACACAAACTTAGGACATGCTATATTTTTGACTAATCCCTACCCAGTATAAGTGGTATAAATATGAGGCATAACTGACTCTGTACTAAGAAGAAATCACGTCAAAATTGTTAGAAGTGTATACATAATCTTGATGAAATTCAAAAAAGTTTTATTGAGGTTTTTATTGAAACTGTTAATAGATTATTGAGAGATAAAGTTTAAGAATCTTGCAAATTCATATCACAACATAAAAAAAAGCATTATTTTCTTTTTCTTGTTTGATTTAATTTTCACGAAGATGAAACTCACATTGCAAATGAAAAGTTTTCATTAAATGGTGAATATTATTGCATCAATTGCCTTGACAAATCGGCTCATCAATAGATCTATAACTTGCTTTGTTGTTTCCTGAATTCAGTATTTGTAACGTATTATTGAATTCCTAAAACATTGAAATCATATAAATCCAAAGAAAATCAACCATTTTTGCGAAACACGATCGACAACAAGTATCAAAGTATGCAAATAGACATTTGGACCTACTCCTTTCTCTCGCAACAGACTGTGATAGATGGTGTTGATAATTATACGATCTTCGATCGTACATCAATAACGTCTCGTTATAATGTATGAAAGATTTCCTTATTGCATTTCTGGATGGTTAAGTAAAAAGATGGTGAAGATATGTATTCGAAAATCGAAAGAATAAAACAATCTCCTGTGATTGGCAACCACAGTTACATCGTGTTTCATATTTTAGTCCCATAAGGATTATATTAAATGCTTCTTACTAAAGAACTCAAGAGTATTGGAATTGATATTCATAAAGTTTTATCATCAACATTGATTTGTGCAAATACATTATTAAGTTCAGTAATGTTTCCATTTTTATAAAATATAGCATTACGATAAAGTATTCCAATAATCGATTGAGATTTATAATTTTGTTTATCATATTTCATTAAAAAGTCAGGATATTTTTTTCCATATGTTTCACATATTTGTTGAATACGTTCTTTATTAATAATATAACCTGTTTTACTTGAATCACCTTAAAAGGACACAAACAAATCATATTAAATAAATGAAAAAAAAATAAATCAAATTAAATTCACTGGCTAATGACAACATTCGAGCCAATTCAATAGCTAATTTTTGACAAGTACGTTGTTGATGATTTTCAATATTTTGATCAACAATCATCGCATGTAAATTATATATTTCACCAAAACTAGGTGTATCTATTATTGTAAGATAATATTTAATAACATCTTGAGCACATATTGGTGTTGGATGTTTAATCTTTTCTTCTGCTAGATAATCAAGTGGCGATACTGAATACTTTAATTGAAATTCTTCACCCCAATAAACCTTTTTGATATGAGATAAAAATAAAACTATTAATTTAAAAAAAAAACTTACAAAATATTTATCACCGTCTAAATTTGATCCAGCAATTTTATTGAAATCAGGTCCTAGATATTATATTTATTTGATAACATAAAAAGAATTCTCTACTTACGATCACCTTCACTGGAAAAAACAATAACATCTTTTAAATTATATAAATCAAGTATATCAACAGCTATTAATACAAGCATATCACCAGCATGTGGACTAAAAAAAAAAAAGTTTTTGTCTCATTTTGAAATAATGAAAAATAAAACAAGAAGAATCTTACCAAGGATTTTTTGTTACAAGTACTCGTCCTTGCACACATTGAAATTGGGGATTTGGTAAAGATTTACCATTTTCATTTAGTACTTGATAACGAATAAAACATGTTCCAGGTTTAAGTTGACTTTCAAATGCACAACCATACATATATCGACATTCATTAACTGGTAGTGGAATTTTATTCTTCAATAAATCACTGAAAAATATACCCAAAAAATGACTTAATATTTAATAAATATTTGATATTTACTCAGAATTCGTAAAACGTGTTGGTTTTTTGTCGAACCATTGTTTTTGAAGACGAAGAAATGTTTCATTTGGTACACCAAGATCTGACATAAGTATAATGATTTGATTATTTAGTCGAGCGGGTTCTAACAAAAAAAAAAAAACAAATCTTTTTCTTTATGAGAAAAAAAAAGTTATTAATTAATTATACTCGATTGACTATATTCATAAATATCTAAAGTCCAATCATTACATTCAAATATTTTCATAGATGGACGAATTTTAATATAAAATTGTTCAAATGTTGATTGAGAATCGACGATAAGAAGACCTTTACAACCAGCCATTTGAATTTGATAAGCAGATGGTAAAATCTTAATAAGAATAAAATTACTGAAGTCTTGTCAATCATATAATACAATATTAACATAACTTTTATATGTACAACGAATGCTAACTAGGGAACATATCCAACTGTCAGATACCACTCGACTCCATATTACGACTGCAATTAGGTCTCGGTCAATTTTAAAAAAATTCAGATCTGTGACCTGCTGATAAAAAATTATGGTCGATTTAATCATATTGTTTCTAAGAAGAAATTACCAAAAAATCCCAAAAATAAGGGTTTCAATCTAAAATTTTGCCTATACGTACACTTGATAATCATTAGATGATCACTGAAAGTTTCAGTGAAAAAGAAAATATCTTTGTTAAAATATTTCGATTTCGAGCTAGACTCGATTGTAGTGTTCTTCTATGATAGATCATTGCTTTTTTCAACATTGAATATTTCGAGAAAGACATGTTTATTTTTGTTGAAACACTCAGAACTATTTAATAACCATTACATGGCTACACCAACAGTTGAGCCTAGGAATTCGAGTCTAACAACAGTAGAAATTTCGATATGGGCGTGGCCGCGCGTTACGGAATTTCATTTTTTCATATTGTGACACCTGTAGCTTCTCAAAAATCAAGGCAAACTTGCTAAAATTTTTATCATAGATAGAGATGGCTGAGATCTATTATCAGTAAAAATTTTATCTATTTCTGTCTAGTCATAGTTGAGTTATTCAACAAATACTGATCGTTACGGAATTTCATAAAATGGAAATTTTTTTTAGGGTGATGCAGAAGTTAAGCATTTTACCACATCACGAAACGGCATACAAATAAATGCTCTATATAAAAGTTATTCAGTTTTCCATGAGCTTTCAAAATATCAATTCATTTCCTAGAAAGCATAACTGTACCAAATCAAATAACTGTAAATACTGTCCGTTACGGAATTTCACTTCGTTACGGAATTTCATTATTTTTTGACTTTCTAATGGGGATGGTTAGGGACCTTACAGCTTTTAATTATCATGATGAAAACCCATCATTTCTCGTATCCGCGAATAGCACAGAGATAGTTCTATCGCGCGAGAATATCAGCTTCACGTTCAAAGCAGAATGACATTAAAATTCTGCCTGTTTTTTGGACAAAAAATGAAATATAATGGGACTCAGAACGGATAGTTTTTTGGTGAAATTCGTCAAAAAATCCGTTTTCGGACACTTATTGGAGGAAAAATACGGTTTATATAACCAATCAACAACGTATCTCAGAAGTTGCAACGTGTTTCATAATCTGTTAGTAGTGAAATTTTGGATTTCGAGAGAGTTTTCTTTATTTTTAGTGCGTATAAACCTTCCTCAGGGTAGGGTGACCGATGCGCGGCCATGCCGATATGTGAGCCTTTCATATGAAGAGTGGAAATTTGTATTGTAGGCATTGAGATCTGTAAAGAGAAGACCCATACCCTCACTTCATGTTCTTAGTAGGTTTTCAATAGCTTATGTTTGTAACTCAATTCGTTTAACTTCATATAGATTTATCACGAACTTGAATCAACAGGATAAAATAAGGTATCCACTAACTCAAGTGCATATTAAAAGAAGAGACCATTAGTAGACTGTTCAATACAATATGCACTGCATCGGTAATCAACTAACGATAGTGCGAACAAACGTGTTACATGGTTTACAAATCTCATTAAATATCAAAAGACTTCACAAAAACTTTCGTACTGAAAAAGCAAAACATACATCTTCTTGAAAATCGTGTGGACATGATGATAGTTTTTCAACAACAAGTTTAGCTAAACCTTTTGAAATAAATCCATTTCCATTAGTAAAACAATAACCATTTCGTTTGATATCATCAATATTTAAGACACATATTTCCCCTTGTTGTATACGTTTATCAAATTCTTGTTCATCTTGACAATAAATAAGTTTAATCTAAAAGAGAACAACATAGTTTTTATTCATCTAATTATATTTCCTTACTTTTGTTGAAGAACTTTTACTAAACCATAAATCTAATCCAGTTATATATGTACTCAAATTTGCAATTTGATTTAATTGACCAAATTGTAATCGTTTTTCATCAATATCATCTAATGTCGACGCTTTAATAAACCAAAATGAATGTTCTCTTAATTGTGAATTTGATGAGCCAAATAAATGATAATGATTTCTACCAAATTCAATACCAGATTCGAATATTGTTTGAAAATATGTCAAAACATCAGTATTATTATTTAAATATTTGTTCGATGGATCAGGTTTTAAATAAACCAAACAAAAATTATTTTCATCTTGAAAAGGTTTAAGACGCATTGCACGATGTCTTTCAATTTTTTCTTTTGGTTGTAAATGAAGACAAGTTGGAGTTAAATGAATAACACCTACATAACAAAATTTATCTTCTGTCTAAAAAAAAAAAACGAAAACAATGAAATATATAAAAATACATATGAAAATTTTCTTTTCCTAATTACTTCTATTTGAATGCGATCTAATTGATTTCGATTAAAAATTCTAATTAAATCTAACCAATGACATTTTTGAAGTTCATTAAAAGCTTTTAATGCTAATTGATAAAAACGTTTTTCATCTTCTTCAGCTAAATCAACCATTATACTTTGAAGTTGTTTATTTATTAAATATTTATCATCAAATAAATATCCTAATGAATGAAGCATTGATATAGCATAAAGAGCATTAGCTGCTGGATACCAATTAAATTCAATTTTTTCCCATTGTTCACATGCATTATGTTCAATTGATATGATTGTATAAAAGATTTCACATTGATATTTATTATGAAGATAATCAAGAAATTGATCAAAATTAGTTTTCGATGAAATACGTATGAGTATCTCACTACATCGACTAAGTGATTCAATAATTGGATGATTACCATATAACCTAATTAATCAAAAGTTTCTTTCAAAGTTCATGTGAATTTTTTTTTGCTCTGTTAAGGTACCTGTCATTTTTGATATTATCATATTCTCGTACATCTGTTGTCATTGTATCAATATTTAATATAATATGCGAATAAGGGTTGCCATCAATGACAAGTATATTTTTGTTAATACATTTCATTGGTAAGTTTAAACGAATAAAAGAATCGGTTTCTTGATTAGGTTGACACTCGATCATCAATGTTTGTTCATTAGAAAATTTTATTGTCCATTGAGTTCTATCATTTAATGGTGTATCATGAACTAAGAATGTTGAAGTCGAAAGTAAAGAACCAAACGAAACATGAATTTCATTGGCAATATTTGTGTCGAAATGAAAATAAGTAACATTTGAGTTCTTTAGTAAGTTAATTGACAACCAAATTTGTGGATATTGAATAAGAAAATTTGAAAATGTTGTACGGATTTGATCTGCTTTTGAAGGTGAACATAAACAAGAAGCTAATGTTGTGTTTTCACTGTATACTGTATGAATTCCAATTGATGAAGATATTAAGTCAACAGCTTCAAAAGGTACATGATGAAATGTACATTTAACAGAACGTCTAAAGAAAAGTCAATAATCAATCGTCGATTTTCTTTTATAATGAAAAACAAAGATTTTCAGAATTGATTGTATGTAAAAACGAATTAATTTCTATTAATACTTACTCAGCCATGATTATATTTTGACCTTCGAATTTGTCAATACAAATACTTCCCTTTCTTCTATAAACTCATCTATGGTGCAATACAATACTGATGCATGTAGAACGAAAGTATGCCTTTTTTATTTTTTTTTCGCTTCTTCACGTTCTTCTGTTGTTGTGCTTGTTTCAAGTATGAGTAACAAAAATATCAAATACGACAATCAGTGGGAAAAAACTCAAAAATTCACAGATGAAAATGTAATATTTCTTTTCAACAGTTATGAATTGTCCCGAGTATAAATATACGTATCATAGACATATATATATATATACGAGTTGAATATGAAATGTCCAGCAGGTTAATGTGATGTACATACCTTTTGCAAGAGTTATACTCAATCGGAATACCGTCTTAACATCACTGATTGTAAGAGCATAGGCTAAGTGTATGTCATCGAAGCAGCTTAAAATAATTCGTTCTTCTTACTCTTTCCTATACTTGAGTTTTGGGTGAGGGTCTTATAAAAATTGCTGAGAGTATTTTAGATTCTAAACGCTTTACCACGCTTGTGTAAGCAAATCTAATTAAACTAAAACTTGAAACATTGAATTGCAGAGATAATACAGCAAGAACAATCACTTAGCACATGCACCAAATGTTTTCCGTACTTCTTGATCATTTGACAAATAAAATATATCCTATGGTGTTTTATTTCGTTGATGCAAACAATGTTCTTCTATTCTCGTTCAAACCGAATATACATATATTTCAAACACCTTGAGGATATTTGAGATTTCTGAAATGCTGAAAATAATTTTATACATTTGTTTTTTTGCTTTTTATTTTATAGATTTTCTTATAGTCCAGACATTGCTCCTTCGAGGTCGCAGTAACGGTGTGTAGTCATTGATCTTTGCTGATATTCCAAAAAATCGCAACAATTTAGAAAATTGTAACAGATAGTTTTAAAAATTAAAACAAAAAAAACCTCTTTTAACTTTAGTCTCTATTGATATTCAGTTGAGTAACCAGGAAGCTCGACATATTTTCGATTATATATCTTAACTAAAGTTCCAATATCTTAACTAATCAAATAATTAATGGAGGATTTTACCTTGTAGAAAAGATTTTTATTAAAATATTGAACTAAACGTCTACTTTTTGGTATTCTTGTTTTCACAGATTATCTTTTCTCTTTTAATAAACTTATATATTTTATTCAAAAACCAACAGGAGAACAAAAAAGAAAACTTGTGAACAAGTAGAATATGAAATGCTGGAAGACAAAATGGTAAAAATACGGAGTTCTTCAATGATCATCATAGTTGAGATAACAATCGAAATATTTTTATAACAATAAAAAAAGAAAATAAAAACCAAGTTATATGTTCCATTCTTTCTCAAGAAATTCATTTAAAATAATAAGCAATATAGGAAGAGATTGCAACGCTCGACTAGAGAATCTCATCAAATTCACAAATGATTTAAAAAGAGACATATGGAATGTTATTCATAGCACATGATTAACGTATTTCAAATGTAATAAAAGATAAAAGGGAAAGAATAAATATAAAAAAAAATGAGTAATTAATAACTAAATAAAAACAAAAAATCATAAGAAGAGTATCAGATTAAAATATAACTATGTTAACACTGATTGTTCCAAATACCATCGTTGATTTGCATTATTGTTCTGTTCACAAGGAGCTAAAATATAATTTTATCTTTCAAAACAATCTTTCTTTGATTTTTAGTTCTACTTACTAAGAATTAATCGATCAGAACTTTGTGTCTTATCTGTAGTCAGACATTGTCCAGATTTAATATGTATCATATGATTTGTCTAGATGAAAAGTTTGTTTGATGTATTAAATAAAACTAAATTAAACATACTGTATTCTTATAATCCCATATTTGATTTTGATTTTCTTGTGAACATTTTTGTAATTTAACAATATTATCCGGACTAGGTTCGATACAAATATCATCAAAACGAAGTTCACCTTTCTTGGAATAAACCAAAATCTAAATAAAATCAATTTTTTGTTGTCTTGTACAAATCAAATATAATGATGAAAGCAAATCATTGTTATATAGAGATATGACTAGAATAACTCGATTGAACAAAAAAACATCGAGCGAATAAAATTCTCAATAGATTAACATGTGCAACATTGTTCTAGCATCTTTTACTCTTATATATCAAGACAAAAAGTGCATGAAACGGCAGATAGAGCTTATTGAATCTAAGAACATATTTTGACTAAATTTATCAATACATTCTATAGACTCTATCAGTCAATAGCATGATTTCCTAAATTAATTATATCCTTCATGTTCAATCTTGTTCAAGAGAAATGCATTTTCAATAATTTTTTTGCATGCACATAATTTATACTAGAATTACATCGTCCTATTTGTTCATAACTAATGCATTCATCAACAATCGAAGAACAAAAACAACATGATCATGCAATAGTGCAATTTTTTTTTATAAGCATGCTTTATTTTCGCACCTGATAAACAGCAGTCATGGGCGAATGCGTTCGATCAATACATTTTTGTATATTTAATGTAGCCGTACGATTCGCCCCTTGACTACTGTAGACATTATGAAGAGTCAAGCAAAACATTGAATCGATACGTATCTGAAATAAGATAAAAAAAACAAAGATTAATATACACACCTGATTCGGATTTTGATTCTGACAAGGTAAAATGCCTGTATTTTCATTAATTCCATTATCACTGTTAAATCCGAGTGAATTGACACATTCATGCACTTCATTTTTTAACTATTCATCCGAAAGAGAGGAGTTATATGTAAGAAGAAGTTCAACACGATTTTGAAAATCACTGAAAATATTTTACGCGAAAAACATAAAGTTAAACTTACTACTCCAACATGATAAAAATCAACAGGCATTGAACTTTCAAGATATATATTTCGTAAATACCATTGAAAATCTTTACATTTAAGACGTTCACGAAGTGCAAGACGTTCTGATACATCACCAGCATCTACACGTTTTAGTTCTTCGAGAGAACAAACAAATAAGAATCTATCAAAATCTTCTTTTCGTTTTCAGTAAATACAAACCAGGCATAAGTGCATAAACAAAATCTTTATATTTATCAAGCCATACTTCAACAAGACGTTTATTATTGTGATGAATAATATTACCAGTACCACCCGGAAATGTATATGGAGTTTGTTTACGAAATACATGACCAACATGACTACCTATAAGAATTATTCCATTAGAAATATCATATTGAGTTTCAATAATATTTCTTACATGGATGAATAAGAACTTTTCCACCACATTGCCAAACACGAAATGACATTTCTAAATTTTCACCACCCCATACTTCCATACCTGGATCATAAGCACCAATTTCATAAAAATAAGCACGATTTATGGTAAATAAACCACCAGCCATGGTTGGAGATCTATTTGATTTAAAAAAAAGAAACAAATTCAGAAAAAGAAAACAATATTATGAATATTTCAATTATACAATAATGGTAAAGAATGATCATAATTTCGACGAATTTCTTCTCGTTGTGGTACTGGATACCAACGAAAATTTAATCTCCAATTAAATCCACCCTTAAAAAATAAACAAAAAATTTAACATTACATAATTATTTTTTATGTCAACGCACCCAAGTCATATCACTACCAGTTAAATAAGCAAAATCATTATCATTGATAACATCAATAATTGGACATACGACAGCTGTTCTAAAATGATTAAAAACATCTAATCTTGCAATTTAATTCAAGTATTTTTTTTCCTATACTGTAATAAAATCTTACTATACTGAACTTCCTATATCCCGACAGCTCAATTTTATCTTCGATTCATTAAAAATGAATATCAATATTTCACTATTCAATCAGCTATGAGAACTAAATCAAAGATCACTAGATCAATTCCATCTGTGATTTATGTCACGAAGTTTAAACTAAACAGTCGTTGTGGCGAAATAAATTAATTCTTGAACTAGACAACAATGATATCCTTAGAATAATATATATATTCGAACAAGATCTGATTCGTTCTTTTAACAACAACTAATCTCAGAAATAAGTCAAAAAACTCTCTTAGTGAAATTAGTTCTATCAATCACGAAACTGGATGCTTTTTTGAGATGCAAAAATATGAAAGAAGATAATGAATAGAGTGATAACATCTAATTCAATATGTCAATATCCTATTACACTGTTACTTTTAATGAAAAACTGCATATGGAACATTTTCAAAGAATTGTTCATATTTTCCAGATTCATGGTATATATTAGCCACTAATTTGAGTCTACCATACAATCAAGTTTCAGTATATAAACTAATTAGTTACTAGTAGATCGGCATTTATCAATCAGATTGATCTAAGGATCCGCAGCTTCAGTGAACGTTAGTGTGAATGTTTGGTGAATAGTTTACTGAGACTGAACACCACTATAATTTACGTTTACTCAAGTATTAATTTCATCTAAATAGATGAAAGTGAGGCATTCAGTAATTCAAACAAACTGATAATTAGTATCATGATAGATTTATAGTTGTCATGATGAAATACACAAAGTTCACTAAACTTTCGCCAACAATGAAGAAAATCCACCGAATTCGGCAATGCAAATACTTCTTTGGTATTGATTACGGAGATTTACATCAAGTATATTCATATATGCTGTTCCTCTATGTCCTAATCATATATTTTATTTATTGAAATATTTCAGGTACTTATTGTTGAATAAATGCTAGTCACAACACATGCAACAGCACGTAAACCTATGCAGATCGAAAAATGATTACACTTTTTGAACTTGAAAGAAAGACTGTACATTAATGCAGTAATATCTGTTTATCATCTGATTGATAAACCGATTTGTCGGAGAAGAAAAGAGAACAAACAAAAATGATTTTCCAAAATCAGATTTATGCTATTCATCTTCAAATTTATTAACATGCTTCAACAATACCATCGCGATAGCGGCAACTTTTTATATAATTCACCGCGTCACGGCAGCAATAGGTTTTCAACTGCAATGGTCATCAATGATTTGAACATACGCCAAGTGCCAATGACAAGTTACATTGAAATAGCATTAGATATAGTTCTAACATCTATGCTGCATTCATACAGCTCTACGATAACTGGCGAAAATCCACTAATCTTTTGCCAAAAATTAGTGAAGAGCGAAATTCTTGCTATGATAGTTAGATAAAATTTAATCACCAGAAAATGATTCTTTTTTACAAATAGAATAAATACATAGAAATGAAAACTAACTCAGAATTATGTCTATATAAATATCTGCTTAATAAATTAAATTTAATACATACCGATCTTTTTTAACTTCATATAATAAATATTGAAGCCATCCAGGTGAACATTCAATATGAGCATCAAGAAAAGTTAATGTTTCACCAGTAGCTATTTCAGCACCTTTTAATTAAACAAATATATTTGTTCTATCTTTATTTTATTTCTATTCTATTTACCTCGTAAACGAGATTTCATTAATCCTAATCGATTAGTATTTCTTAATATACGAACTGAAACAGGTAATTCTTTAGTAAATACTTCTAATGTATCTTTAAGATATTCTATAAGTAAAAAACAAACAATATAAGAAAAAAGGCAGCGAAATAAGTAAATCAATCTTGCCTCGATCAATGCTAGCATCATCAACCATGATTATTTCATGTATATATTGTATAGGACTTCGTAAAATAATACTTGTTAATGTTCGAAGTAATGTTGAATTGCCTTCGTTATGAAATACAATAATAATTGATGTTGATGGTAAATCAGATGGAAATTTATGTGATAAACATCTAAATAGAAAGAAAAGTAAATAAAAATAAATTGAAATAAAATATAAAACCTTGATGATCGTTGATCTTTAATTGATCGATTAAGAGCTATAAGATCTGAAGCAAGAATATTAAATTGATTTTCTGCAAAACGTTTTTTAGCTTCTGCTTTTAAGTCATTTGGAATAACAACAGCACGACCAGCTTCACCATGCCAATTCGTTGGATTTGTTGCTCCTATTATAGAAAGCACAAAATCGATATTTCTTTTTCTATTTTTCTTTTCTAATCTAAATGAAATTTAAACCTGGATCAATTTTCCACCATTTACTAGCAATACTTTTCTTTGTTGTTTCAATCATAGTTGTATTATCGATTATATTGTGTTTTCTTTGGTTTATTTTATCAATAATTATTTTTGGATGTAATTGAACATCACGATCACTCATTTTAGAAGATTTATCACTTGATAATGATGATGATGATGAACACGGAATAATAATTTCTTTTGTACAATCAGAAAATAACATTATAAAAAATACATCAACGAATATCCAAAATAATGATGTGTAAATAACAACATGAAGATATTGACGTCTCCATAAACGAAAACGTTTTAATAACACTTCAGTTGATGTTGAATGGTAAGATGATAATGGCTTCATGATTAATTTTGTAAAAAAAAAAAATCGAAAAATGACTTTAGTTCTTTGGGCTCTTGATATTGTTCAAAATGATATCTAGAAAGAAAACATGTCTTGATTTATAGATACCAAGAATGAAAGAAAAATTAAAGAGACATTCATTGTGTAAAGAAAATTCGATTATGTAAATGTACTAATATAACTATTCAGAGATCGTATTTGAATGCAAAATATAAAAAGTAATCAAATTATATTGTTTCAATAACCCAAGAGAACCAATCCGACAGTTGAATCTTATCATTTCCTACTAGCATTGTATAAAATTCAGTAGTTCCTTGTAGGAATATAGTTGAAAATCAGGTGCAAGAATCATATTCGAATCTCTAGTATTAGAATCTAGTATTAATGAAATGAATAGTAATTAGGTGTGTATGAAATAAATGAAGACTAATGTGATAAAGGAAGATCAAAAAAAATCAACTCTAAATATCGACTTTACATGACAAGCTCATATTTTTGAGCCATCTTTATATAATTATTCCTTGACTAGTTTACTTTCATGAATGAATTAATATTCATAGATATGTGTGGTCAGACACATGACTTATTCGGCTAGGCAATGGTAAACTTGAAAGTTTTAAAGACAAGACAATCTCGGTGTCGAATTGAATTAGATATATACCGAATTCCTACTCTGTTAATTTCGTCGAATGGATTTCCATCGGATTTTGTCGAGTGATTTTATTCATCTGTCGGTGAATATTTTAAGATAACACGAATAGATCAGTGACGGAGCCAAGGCAAGGAGCAAAGAGGACTCCGTTTCTCATTGAGAGACTTTGAAAATCTCGCCAAGGTGAACTTGAATGTGCACAAGAAGCTAAGCTCTCTCCCCTGTCTAGCCTAATATTTTGGCTGTGACACTGGAATAGATTCATAGTTGCGAGTGAGAAAATAATATAATGTAACTATAAACTTTTTATTTTTTTCTACGATGTTTCTATTTACTAGTGTTTCTACTTCGAAGAATAACAATCAATATGTCTTTAACTGATAATAGATTGATTTTATAATTAAATTTCAATTACAATGATCATACCATGAAAATTTATTATTTTGTTAATTTTATATCATTTTTCTGATTAACAATGATTATGATAAAAAATATAATACTACCTGCTACTTAAATTTAGACTTATTTAAAAATCTACTTTAAATGATATTCTTTCTCTTAAACAATATTTAAAATAGGATTTTCAAAGAGTTTTAGATGCGAAATATGATTCCAGATAAAATTAAAATAATTAAAAATATTAAACAAGATAGAGAAAATGTTTCTTCATATTTATCAAATGTAATAAAGAACTTTATACAAAAAAAACATGAATCTATATCATAAATGAAATTAAAGTTTGGTTGGTCGTGTTTCTGTTCTAAGAACTTGAATAATTTGAGCAAGTGCATCAGGATGAACACCAGCTTCAAGTAATCTAACACATGCAGTTAATGTTTTTTTATCTAAACCAGTATTAAGTAATTGTGATAATTCATGAAGACAATCAAGTGCTTCACGTGCTTCATTTGTTGTTGATTCACTTACTGTTGAAGTTGATTTCACAATTGGCATTGTTTTATCTGAGAAAAAAAGAAAACAAAACGAAACAAATAAATTGATATTTTTTTTTTGTTAAGAAGCAATAAAGCATAAATATATTTTACATATATTTATAATAATACAGCTAATAATTCCACTGTTGCACGACGAAAACAAAAACAAAAAAATAAATAAAGAAATCTGACAGTATCCATAAAGAATAAAAACAAAAAAAAAAAAAACAAGATCTAGTTTATTGTTCGTCTTGACAATCTTTCTATTTCTTTACTTAATGTATCAACATTTTCTTTTAATGTTATATTTTTTAGAAGTGTATCTTCTAAAACTGATTGTAATTTTCCCATTATATCTAATGCTGTTTCAAGTGTCATTGGTGATGATTGATCAAATAATTTATTTGTTGTTTGATTAACAGTTGTTGTTGCACGATTATATAATGTTGCCATTAATGATGATGAATTTCGAGTTTTATTTGCTAATTGTTGTTTAATTAAATCTGATTCATTTGATGTATACATAAAACTATCTTCATTCATTGCATATGTTTGAATTATTTTACGTTTATTTTGTAAATCTTGTGTTAATAATTGTATATGATCATTTAAAAATTCGATTTTTTCATTACGTCGTACAAGTAATTTTTGTTGTTTTAATAATTTATCAATTAATTTTTGACGATCAATATCAACAATATTAACAACTACTTCTTGTTCTTCATCAGGTAAAACTTGTTGTTGCTGTTGTTGTTGTTGTTGTTGATGATGATGATGATGATAAATTGATGGATGAGATGAAACATGATCAGGTGTTGACACAGAACTAGCAGTAATCTCGTTCAATGAACTATATGAACCTGTTGGTGATTCACGACTTGATATATTATCATTAGAATTCTCTTTATTTGTAATAGATTTTGTTTGACTAAATTATCAAAATATAATCAATGTTTAAAAGTTATTCAGATATATATACTTAGCATATTTCATCAAAAACAAATTTTATTCAAGATCGTAATTATCTACGTTCGTTTTTTGCTTTCTTTCTGTCAAAATATTTTTTTTTAACTAGTTTAATTTTTATTGGTTTGCCCTTCTACTGACTTTTCTTCTATTGTATAAGTATGACATAGGTATATTATGAGTGATAGGAATTCAAAAATTTAAAGAATAAATTTGGACAGAATAATATTTGTACATTATTAGTGAAAATTTGAAAAAGAATTATTTACCAAGTAAGTAAAGCAGATGATTGTTCATTACTATTATTTGTATGTTTCGGTTTTTGTAATTGTTGTAATTGTTTAATTAAATCTTTTGTATTAGCTTGATGTTTTTTTTTCAACGTTTGAATTTCTCTAAGACTATCATCATATTGTTTTATACTTTGTTCGTATGATTTATTTAATGTTTGATATTTTTCATCTAATTCTTTTAATTGATCTTTTAAAGATTTTTCAATATTTTCTAATTTGATGATTTGATTATTTTGTTCTTCATTAGTTTTTTTAAAATTTTCAAAATCTGAAAATGTTTGTTTATATAATATTTGAAGTTGTTCATAATCACTTTGTAAAATAGAATTTTTTTCTGTTAATTTTTGTGTTAATTCAAGTAATTGATGTTCTTTTTCAAGTAATTGTCGTAAATCAGCATTATCAGCTAATGTTTGATTATAAAGTTGTTCAATTTGTTTTAATCGTGATATTTCAACAGAATCTTGTTCACGTGCAGCTAATAAATCCTCATATAATTTTTTTTTTGTTTCTTTTTCACGTAAAGTATTTTGACGAAAATTTTCAATAACATTTTCTAATGCTAAACGATCTTCATCAGATGATTTAAGTTTTTCACGAAATAATTTATTTTCATCTTGAACATTTGTTAATTTTACTTTAAGAGCATTATGTTCATTAAGTAATGCATCAAATGCTTGTGCACGTTCATCATCAGTTGGTACTGCTTGAGCAGCTAAAATAAAGCAATTGTTTATATATATATATATGTAAAAGAAAGAACCTATCATCTTTATTAACAACAGACTCTACCGATGATGGACTAACGGAAAAAAACACTCTAAACTCATAATAAAAGAATAAAAAGTTTTCATTTTAACACTGTTATAGTTAGATCTGTAGATGTTCATGCAGCTCTATAAAACTAAATTCTGATAGAAAAGTACAGCTAACAATGGAGGTGTTTGTACTGTCCGTGAGAAAAATGGGATCTATTCGGGTCAAATGAAGGCTTTCACCGAGAAACTAACAAGGTTAAAATATTACCTGCCCTTGACTTACCTAGAGGACGATATTCGATTTTTCAGGAGATTTTCCCTGCAGGACCCCAGGTTTCCAGCAAAATCATATTTTCGAATTTCGACCTGAAACTTTGTACACATGAAGGCCTCGACTACACTAGCTTTAAAAAAAAATTTTAGAAGTTTTGGACAATCTCTCACCGAGATATGAATTTCTCAAAATATAAAATATCTATGGAAAAGCGTCTATATTTTGAGAAACTCATATCTCGGTGAGAGATTATCCAAAACTTCTAAAATTTTTTTTGTAAGCTAGTCTAGTCGAGGCCTTCATGTGTGCAAAGTTTCAGGTCGAAATTCGAAAATATGATTTTGCTGGAAACCTGGGGTCCTGCAGGGAAAATCTCCTGAAAAATCGAATATCGTCCCCTAGGTAAGCCAAGGGCAGCTAATATTTTAACCTTGTTAGTTTCTCGGTGAGAGCTTTCATTTGACCCGAATATATCCCATTTTTCTCACGGACAGTACAAACACCTCCATTGTAAGAAAAAAAAGCATTCTCAGGTTGTAGAGAGTGCCAGAAGACTGACACGGATCCGTTAGTTTCTACTTTTTCTGCTACTTATGATGTCTCGGCAAATAGTCGGTGTCTATTTTATTTTTCCATGGTACTATCAAAAAAAAAATTAGAAGAACTACAAATAATTTATGAGTTGATATTCTTTTAGTTTTCATAGAGCTGAAAGCTTCTGTTCTTTTATTAGAAATTTTTTTCATAGAGCTGAAAGCTTCTGTTCTTTTATTAGAAATTTTTTGATTTTTTTTCGCATCTAGTTATATTTGTACTGGCATAACTATACAGCACATAGTAGAAAATCTCAAATTCTAGTTTTCTAGATCAAATACCTGTATAGTTATGAGAGTCCATGCATCATAATATATAACAGTGCGGATCAAAGGACGAATAGTTTAATGTAAGATATGTTTGAAACGAAGTATGAGAATGTAAGAAGTAACGAAATAAGCTAACTCGTTAATTCAAAACTTTATCCTTACAAAATCCGTCTTGACTTGTGGTAAATACTTATATTATGTGTTTATGTCAGTAATGCTTATCTCTGGATACATCTTTTACACGTATTTACTCACAAAC